ATTGACTTTAAAAGCTGCAACTGATCATTCTCTTATTTGCATATTTACATACTGTGCATATTGTCTCGATATTGCCTTACTTCACAAGCATTACAAGCAAAAATACGTGGTAGCGAGCAGTGGAATCCAGGTACAGTCGAGTGATTAAACTACAATCTACTGAATATTACCAAACACCCGGAACCGTATCGAAACAACAAAAATCGAGCTCAAAGAAAACAATCTGTTTATACTAGCTCGCAACAAAGAAATTAGATTTGAAAGTTTCGTCAAGGTAAACATAAAGCGCCAGTTACGAAAATGGCTCTGACTACTGTTCTTAAGGATATCTTGCCATTGTTGGACATGTCAGTTTATTGTAACTACAAATCAGCTTTAGAAAAAACGATTACCTGTGTATCGCAGTATTGCAAAAGTGGAGCTTGTTCTGGTAAGTAGTGTATTCTGATAATAAAAAATAGAACATTTGAGAATATTTTTCTTAAATGAGCGTATCAACCAATTATTTGTCCTTGTTATAAAAGACTGTGGCGTTACTAACGATTTATCCTACCCAAAGCTACCCGTACTCCTAACTCCTCCACCATCACCTGGCATTAGCTCGTTGTTATGTTCTCAATGTGGACAGTTTTTAGCACTCATATCTGAAACCTGTGTGTTTGTTGTGGATGCACAGTTCGGCGCAAAAGAATTTTGTCAGGTAATTTTTTTTCAAGTTTGAGTACTTTTTCCTGCGTGTAGAATCATTCGTACTTGGTTCCCACTAGTTACATTGTTTTCGAGTTAGGGGGAAGCATAAACGGTGGATTTGAAATGAAGCATTATATTCGCCACGCAGAAAGTAGTAAAATAGGAAGCCCGCTAAACTGTCTCTTTTGAAGCTTGTTTTCCACTTATATTCCGAACTCCTCTTCATCCCTTCCTTTGTCTGTTCAGATTGATTCTGCCATAGCTATTCAACAACCTATATTACCGAGTACATTTGGTAGAAATCACGAAACCGAAATATGATAGACGTATTAAGTTGATCACACTCTAATTTATCATCCGAGTTAAAAATCAAGTAGTCTCTTCAGTAGCGAACTATAATACCTAATTGCTATATTCAATGGAAGATAAATGAAACTAAAACTTTCAGTCAAGTAGTTCAACATTATATTACCAACTTACTGAACCTGATTTTCCTCATTAATAGTTGATTAGTTTAGTCGTAAGTGTCTACCTAGATGATGACCTGCAGATCAAGTAATTGTTTTCAATTATTGTCTGGCGCTTTAACCGGGTTGGTGGACATGGAGGGTCCACCTAGGGGAGTTGGAAAACCTTGATTCCAAACCAATGGTGCATATGGGCTCCAGTATCCTCAAAGAACAAATGGCGTATAAACCAATCGTCGGTCGCCGGCTACCATGGGTCTGCATATCCTTACGACGCTCCACTGTCTTGTGGGTCAGACCTTCAGGCCGAAGGCTCCGGGAGTGGCCTACTAAAAAAACCACCTGCTTCTGTTTGGGCACCCGGGAAGTATCACAGCCCTCACGCATATCAAACGAGATTTGTGTGGCGCATATGTATTTGGTGCCTCCTTGTACCAATATCTATGTGTTAAAATAAAATACTGACTTGTCCGGTCAAATATTTCACAAGATACTGTAATGACCTGGATTATCAGTCGCTTCCGTTGTTTTGTATCATTGCATCTCTCTTAAACTCCGTTCCCTGTAAGCATTTGAGTAATGTCAAGCTTAGGGATGATGTGGTTTTGTTCTTTTGAATAACATTTCTTATTAACGCCAATGTTTGAGGGTAAATATTCCATTCAGGTCTTGAACGTATGCCTATTGATGCGAATTACGTTAATCGACTTGGGATGACTGGAAACCTCGGTTATCACTATCATAACCAAAGTTAGAAATCTGAGCAATTAAATTTCCATAATAGAACACTGAACGGACCTGCTGTTGCCATTACAATTCAAAAATTTAACTGTATGGCATATGTTCCTCTTCAAAATAGAATAAGTTCAAAATGCAGTCAGTCGGTGGTTTAAAGAGCTGTAACTCTTATCATTCTGATACTTATTACAACTGTTGCAGATGGAGATATAAAATCTATATGTATTTCTGCGTGCTCATGTGTACGGCCCATTAGGAATTATATAAGTAGCAAATTTCTACGCTCTGGTTGATGTAAATCACATTACCTTATTAACTTGGGATTGTTTTCTAAACCAATAATATGCAAATTTATACGTAATACATTTTCCGACCAGTTCTTGCTAACTAGTAGCATTTCTCATCGTTTATTTACGAAAACAACTCTCTTTTATCAATCAACACGGTTTATTCATGCTTTGTTGCGGAATTATTTATAGGAATTCATTTTTCACCTTCAGGTCACTAGTTATAATATGACTTAGAAGTTACACTGCTTATTACTTAGTAATTTGTGCTCCGAGCGCGCAAAGCAGTTTTCAGATATAGGTTAGTTTTTTTTCACGAACTAATATCGTCTGTAAAACAATTAAAAATCAATAAATAACACTAAACTCTAGGAGCCTTCTTCCAGTCACTTGATTTTTCTAATGGAAAGCTCTTTCAACATCTGACAAGTCTCTGTCGTTTGTGTGCTCGAGTTCTATAAGATTCCCGAGTAGAATATTTATCTATCATGTCAAACTAAACTTTTACCACGGAAAGCATGTCTATAGCATTTAAAATAGAAGTATCCCACCCCCCTGAATGCCCTGGTACGGCCGAGAGTGGGGAGAGTCCGCTCTCCCTCTCGAAATACTCTCACACGGCCACGCGTATATAGCCTCTGCCAGGGAAGTCCTACTCATTGCCTTCTCGTGGCGGGGGTGTTGTTTACGAAAATGAGAGGACGAGAAGCGAATGTCCGGCGCTTTAACCGGATTCCAAACCAATGGTGCACATGGGCTCCAGTATCCTGCGGGAACGAATGGCGTATGAACCAATCGTTGGTCACCGGCTACCATGGGACTGCATTTCCTTACGATGCTCCACTGCCTTGTGGGTTAGACCTTTAGGTCGAAGGCTCGGGGAGTGGCCCCCTAAGATAACCACCTGCTTCGGTTTGGGCACCCGGGCAGTATCACAGCCCACACACAAATGATGAACTGTTTATGTCTATGGAAACTACTTTTGTCGCTTTGAAAAACAATCAATTGATTCAAATTATGATCACTTCAATTATTGTCATTATTAATACTAATATTATTATTACTACTATTATTGTCATTATTGTTATTATTATCATTATTATTATTATTTTCCACATTATTCACCTTCTTTTATACTTATACAGCGGCTCGTCTTTGGTGGAATTCCGACTGTATCTAAACGTTCTCGAGTCACTGTCCGGTTGAAAATTGTATGTTACCACCGAATACGAGGACTGAAGCAGATTTTCTGAAACCACGTGCATCATTCAAACTGGCTGCCTTCAACGTTCGCACATTTATGCAGGTCGGACAACAGATAGGGCTGGCTATGTCTTTGGAAAGTCTTAATATCGACGTGTGTTGTCTATCCGAGACCCGTATTCAAGACTCTGGCGAAGTACTACAAATTCGATCTCCATCTGTCGCTTCGAAAAGCTTGTTTTACGTGCGCTTATCCGGGGACCCTGTGGCATCTTCGTCTGGTTTTGCTGGCGTTGGTGTCGCACTAAGCGCTAGAGCTGAGGCAGCACTAGTCGATTGGATCCCCATTAACAGTCGGTTATGTGCTGTTAGATTAGAAAGTTCCATCAAAGTGAGAAGAAATCGGCGTGAGAAACGATGTCTTTTCGTCATCTCCGCCTATGCCCCGACAGATTGCAGCCCGGATGCAATCAAGGATGAGTTTTACCACCAGTTATCAGTTCTTCTCCAGAAAGTGCGTTCGACAGATATTGTAGTACTAGCCGGAGACTTGAATGCTCAGGTCGGGCGTCTAGGCACAGAAGAGAGTCGTTTAGGTGGCCGATGGGGACTCGTTGGTCGCAGGTCAGATAACGGGGACCGTCTACTGCAACTTTGCGCAGACCACAACCTGTTTCTGGCTAGCACTAACTTTCGGCACAGTCATCGCCGATGTGCCACCTGGCGTCCTCCCTCTGCATCTCAAGCCTGGACTCAGATTGATCACATCGCGATCAGCTACCGCTGGCGTGGTTGTGTACAAGACTGCCGCTCCTTTTGGAGTACCTATCTGGACTCTGACCATGCCTTGGTCTGCGCCAATCTTGCCTTACTTTTCAGTGGACAACGAAGTGAACGCCATCAACGGATTGATGTTAGCAAGCTGGTTGCAACTTCTGTTGCAAGTAAGTATCGAACCGAGCTAGCCTCTAGGCTAGCTACCACTCCACCGAAAAGTATAGATGAGCATTGGTTGCAATTGCATGACGCCATGAAAATGGCGGGAACAGTCAGTTGTGGGTTTGCGAAACGTCCCGCTTTTAAGCACTGGGTTTCTTCTGGTTCCTTACAACTCATTGAAGCCCGTCGGTCTACTCCGGGTAACCGTGAGTTTGACCATAAACGAAGGTTTTTACGTAAGGAAATCGGGCAAAGCTTGCGTAAGGACCGAGAAGCCTGGTGGTCGATGCGTGCTAATGAGCTGGAAGCAGCAGCTGCATCTGGTAACTACCGGAAGCTCTTCCAACTCATCCGAGCCACTGGCAGCAAGAAGTCTGGTGTGAGTGAAACAATCTGCGAGGATGATGGGATGCCAATCACAAACATCCATCGACGTCTTGGACGATGGGCAGAATTTTTCGAAGGGCAGTTCAACTGGCCTGCTGCTCCGGTAACATCGGTCAGACTGTCCTGCCCTCCATGGCCGGTGACGACTGATCCACCAAATGAGGAGGAAGTCCACAAGGAACTCCAACTCTTGAAGCGTTACAAATCACCTGGCCCAGATGACTTACCTCCGGCTCTTTTTAAAGATGGTGGTGACTTTTTGACTAAGGAATTGACGACGTTGTTTACAAAGGTTTGGGATCTAGAGAGTGTACCAACGTCATGGAATGAGTCGATAGTTGTCCCTATCTTTAAAAAGGGTTCACGTCGTTCTTGTAACAACTATCGGGGGATAAGTTTACTTCCGATTGCGTCCAAGCTATTGGCTTCCGTCATTCTTCGTAGGTTGTTCAAAACCCGAGAAAGATTGACTCGCGAGGAGCAGGCTGGGTTTCGTTCTGGTCGAGGATGTATTGATCATATCTTCACCCTCCGCCAAATGTTAGAACACCGCCATACTTTTCAAAGGCCAACAATCGTAGTGTTTCTTGACATCAGGGCTGCCTTCGATTCGTTGGATAGGACTGTTCTCTGGGATTGTCTATTGAAGAAGGGTGTGCCTGAGAAGTTTATTAACATCCTAAAAGCTCTGTATAAAAACACCTCAGGCAGAGTGAGGGCATACAACCACCTCTCTCCATTGTTCCATTCGAGCAGTGGGGTTAGGCAGGGTTGCCCAATCTCACCATTCCTCTTCAACTTTGCCATCGATGACATTCTGGAAACAGCTCTGATGAATGTAAGTAATGGTGGTGTGGATCTGTTGCCTGGAGAAAGACTTCTCGACCTTGAGTATGCGGACGATATTGTCTTACTGTGCGATAATGCCCAAGGCATGCAATCCGCACTTAATCAGTCGGCAATCAATGTCCGTAGGTATGGTATGTGCTTTGCACCTTCGAAGTGCAAAGTACTTCTACAAGACTGGCAGGATCCCAATCCTGTACTCACCCTGAATGGTGAGCAGATAGACGTAGTTGAGAAGTTCGTGTATCTGGGTAGCTGCATAAGTGCTGGTGGTGGTGTGAGTGATGAGATCAATGCACGAATAGTGAAAGCCAGAGCGGCTTATGCCAATCTGGGCCACCTTTGGCGCCTTCGTGATGTCAGTCTGGCTGTAAAAGGCCGGATCTACAACGCGTCGGTGAGAGCAGTTTTGCTCTATGCTTGTGAAACCTGGCCTCTCCGAGTTGAGGACGTTAGACGACTCTCTGTGTTTGATCATCGCTGTCTCCGAAGGATTGCTGACATTCAGTGGCAACACCATGTTAGTAATGCAGAGGTTCGGCATCGTGTGTTCGGGCACAGAGATGATAACTCAATTGGTGTCACCATCTTGAAACACCGACTTCGGTGGCTTGGACATGTTCTCCGAATGTCGTCCCAGAGAATTCCACGTCGTGCATTATTTGCCGACTCTGGGACTGGTTGGAAGAAGCGGAGAGGTGGTCAGTGCATGACATGGTGTCGTGGCATGAAAGAAAGCTGCAAAGGACTGGCTTGTGTTGGTCCTTCACGACTCCCTGGCTGGGGTCCGAGAGATGGTGCAACACAGTGGCTAGAGACGTTATCAGATATGGCTCAGAATAGAAGCCAGTGGCGATCCTGCTGTAACCTTCTTTTACTTTCTTCATAAAAAGTGGTTGTGTCTCCTTTACCTGAAAGATTTCTTCTGATTGTACCTCTTCGTCATTACTCTCTTTTTCTTTTGCGTTCCTTAGTTTTTTTTTTCTTTCTACTTCTCTTCGAATTCCCATTGTTTTGTGTGGCGCATATATATTGGCGCTCTCTTGTACCAATATTTATGTGTTCAAATAATAATAATAATAATTTTTCTAGGACCAAATTGTTCGTCCAATATACTGTGCTATTGATCTTAGAGACCTTTCCTCCAAATCAAAATTAAATGACGTTATAGTAAAGGTGCGGTGGCATCCGAAATCTAACAGAACATTGGTTATTGTAACCGAAAATTCCTTTATATATTACATTCATTGTGTAAAGTCCTCAGAAAATCAAAGCATTCGATTCAATTTATGGCTTGAAGCAGATCTTTCAGTATTTACTCATAGCGCTCTTGATGCTACCTACCAGGATATGAATGATTCGGATGAGAGTTCTTGCAATGAAAACGATGATAACAGTTCATCAGTGTCCAATACGAAAATGAATCTCAGTTTTGCTTTAGGCAGCAAGTGTGTCGACTTTGATTTCGGTTCCGCACTATTTATATCAAAACGCGGTTTATCGGAAGCTCAGTTACAAGATTGCTGTTTGTTCCTTCTTTACGAAACAGGTAAGAAGGTTTACTGTTTTGTCGGTTCATATAACGTTTTCCCCACTCATGTTCGTCGTATTCCGACTTTTCAGTTGTTGAAAGTAGGGCTCGATAGTTTTAAATAAATATCACCTTTTGAGTATATATTCATGACTTGTCCGCTTCTGTTTCAAAAGGCAGTTGGTGTTACTAATTTATGAAAAGCTTGATGCTAAACGTTCACAAACTTATCGGTTTACCAAACATTGGGCGTAATATTTGACGATACCTTTAGTAGCCATTATGTTTTTAGATTCATCCACCAACGCAATGTAGTGTTTCGGAACAAAACGGGATGTACTGTCCTAACTAAACTTTACTTAGATCATTTACAAGCCTTGCTCAGATGTTCAGTACTTTACAAATTATCATGCCAGTCACTTAATCATTGTCAAAATAAGACCTAGAACAAATATGGATTGGTCCGGGATCACTTTATGCACTTAAGACATTGTCAAAGGAATCCTGTCCTATCTAAAGGATCTCGAGTCACTGACTGGTCGAAAGTTGAATGCTACCACCGACTACGAATGCTGAAAAAGTCTTTCTGAAACCACGTATACTTTAGTATCGGTTTCTATGTTAAGCCCAAATAACTTATTTTAGCTTCTGGATAGGCCAATTCATCCATTCTTCTTGAGTCACGTTTTGACCCTATTAATTGTTCACTTATCAACCCTGACTATATTTATATGAGCGTATGTGTGTGTACATCTTATTCTACTCATCATATGTCTGTAGCTTACTTTTGTGTGACTACGAAAAATCGATTAACGCTTGATTAAATTGAGTTGGCTCACATGCCTTCTCCAACGCGCATCATTTCGTCTCGCCTCGTTCCTTCAATCACCAGCCTGGATCAATAATTGTACAAAATATACGCATTCGAAATCCTTTTTGGTATTTGACTTATTTTAATTCCGTTATTCACTAACGCGAGTTAATTTGATAGTTATATACGAAGATAGCAGGAATATATATTTTGACAACAATCATTGATCCAGGCTGACGATCAAAGGAACGAAGCGAAACGAAATGATGCGCAGTGGAGAAGGCACGTGAGCCAACTCAATTTAATCAGGCTTTAATCAATATCTGTAGTCACACAAAAATAAGCTACAGACATGTGATGAGTAGGATAAGATGTACACACACATACGCTCATATAAAGATAGTCAAGGTTGATGAGTGAAAAGCGGATAGGTGGTCAGTGTATGACATGGTGTCGTGGTATGAAAGAAAGCTGTACAGGACCCGCTTCTGTTGGTTCATCATGACTCCCTGGTTAGAGTCCAAGAGATGATGCAGCACAGTGTCTTGAGACGTTATCAGACATGGCTCATGGTAGAAGCCAGTGGCGATCCTGTTATAACTTTATTTTACTTCATAAAAAATGAACGTAACATTTTTAACTGAAAGGATTCTTTATGGTTGTATTTTTGCCAACTGAACTGCCTCTCCTATTATTATTATTTCACTCTCATACACTAATTTCTGTTCATTGTTGTCCTTTTTCTTATACACATTTTACATTCTCTATCTCTTCACAGTCTCATTGTCATTGTGTGGTGCATATGTATTTGGTACCCCTATGTACCAATATTTATGTTCACATACATAAACGATTGTAGGTGTTATGCGGACATCAACATCCACATACATATCCGATTTTCCTATTTTATTCAAATCCCTTCTTGAGTTTTTACATTGATTTTTCCCTGTTATTATAGAATATGTTTTGTCTAATTTGTCATGTATTAGTTGCTTGACCCCCCCCCTTATGTTTAAGACTGCAAATGATTAGTCCCTTATCGGCATATGTGCATCCTTTATGGATTGCCTCGATATTGCCTGAAGTCACAAGTGTTATTTTGTTCAGTCAGAGTTGTACATTTTAACAATGTTATCTTTTCACTCTAACCAAAACGTTTTGACATAGTTTTCAATCTAATTAGAATGTCTCGAAAACTGCCCTTATAATGTTTAGTATAACATGCAAATAAAAATATCACCCTTGGTAAATCTGTATATTCTTCTTCAGAACCAATGTATTTTTGGCAATTTTCTGTGTAGTATAGTTTTTTTCTGCATATCAATTTATTCACAGTGGAAGAGTACCCATTAAAACATAAAGGTTATTTTTACTGAGCAATAGTCACTAAGTTACTGAATCTTTAACCGCTATTCACTCGGCTTTTCTATAATTAGTCTTATTTTTAATAGTAGTAATAATAATAACAACAAAAATATTCACAAAGATTCTCTTTGAGTATATCTTGATAAACATTGAGGAAAAAATAAACGAAATTGTATATTCAAAATAATGTAAGCAATTAATAACAATAAGTTTTCATTGATTTATATAGGTGATGTTATTCAAGTATGTGGATGCTTGTCCGTTCGTAAAATGAATCAGCTAAAATGTAATGTTTTGCACATTTTCCCACCATCAATTGATAATTATGGAGATGAATTCTGTGCTATTCATTGTATTCGTCCTATTGACAGTTCAGAAATGCTTTCATTTGAAAAACCTCCTGATATATTAGTGTTAGCTGATAAAATTGGTCGTTTGCATAATGGTATTGTTCTGCGAGCCAATATACCTGGACAGAATAAAAACAGTGAGTTTATTTTTAAAGATTTCGTTATGTTGGTGGACTGGTTGTGAAATTGTTGACTGTCTTAATATATTTTCACTTTGAATTTACATACAGTTAAACGTTTTATTATCACTTTTGAATTCAATACCTTTCTCTTAGTCACTAGACAGTAAAGTGAACATACCTTTTCGTGAGTATATCTTCAAGAATTGTTTTTGCTTGATTAAATTCAACTTCAATGATTTGTAAAGAAAAAGTCGATTGGTCCAGTTATAGCTAATTCATTTGTGGATATAGTAGTCGAAATGAACCGTATTCATGAACTAAAAATCCTACTACTGAATTAGTCGAACACTTAGAACTACTTTTCATAGTTTTTATGTTGTTGTTGTGAACTGATGATAATGTACCTATAGCCCATACTTTCAATCTTTTAGCACATATCTTTGTGTAAATAACTGAAATTATTTACTATTGTAATTGAATAAAATAATTTAGAACTTAGCAAGCTACTGAATTGGTTCTGAACTCTAATTGCTAATGACTAAGCGAAAAATATCAGATATAAAAAACAGAAATTCACGAAAATCCAATTAAATAGAGGCAAAAGTTAATTCATGGTACATAATTACTGAATAACTCCTCCTGGAGTCCCTCCGGGGGCTACTGCCGGTCCCAAGCCCGGATAAAGGAGGAGGGTTGGGCATGGGGTTAGCGTCCCCATCCCGTAGAAAACTAACTCGCTAAAAAAGCGCTAACCAGAGAAAATTATTCAAATCTTTTAAACTCTGCCCTGGGAGTCAGAAGGTCTTCATTCAGAAGAATTATGACGCCTCATGATGAAAGCCGAATCCCTTCGGAAGTTACGAGGCCGATGCCCCTTCTGACAACCAGAGCGACCATTTATTTAGGTACATGTAATGCTCATACAATGTGGGACACCGGGAGAGCCTTCCAAATTGCTGCAGAAATGAGAAGATACAACCTAGAGGTACTTGGGATCAGTGAAACACATTGGACGCAAGTTGGACAACAACGACTAACTTCAGGAGAGCTCCTGTTATACTCCGGCCATGAAGAAGAAAATGCACCACATACACAAGGAGTTGCATTGATGCTGTCCAAACAAGCGCAAAATGCGCTTATAGGGTGGGAATCTCATGGACCAAGGATCATCAAAGCCTCCTTCAAAACAAAGAAAGAGGGCATCTTAATGGACATCATCCAATGCTATGCGCCTACCAACGACTACAATGAAGACGCTAAAGATCAATTCTACAATAGGCTGCAGTCAATCATCGAGAAGTGCCCAACAAAAGACCTGACTATTCTGATGAGAGATTTCAATGCCAAGGTTGGAACGGACAACACAGGATATGAATACATCATGGGACGACACGGACTGGGAGAAAGGAACGAAAATGGTGAGAGATTTGCAAACCTATGTGCCTTCAATAAACTGGTCATAGGCGGCACCATATTCCCACATAAACGCATACACAAAACCACATGGACTTCACCGGATCACTCTACACAAAACCAAATCGACCATATTTGCATCAACAAAAAGTTCAGGAGGACTATAGAGGACTTGAGAACCAAGAGAGGAGCTGATATAGCATCAGATCATCACTTGCTGGTCGCCAAGATGAAACTGAAACTCAAGAAGCACTGGACAACGGGGCGGACAATATCACAAAAGTTCAACACGGCCTTTCTTCAGGATACTAACAAACTCAACAAATTCAAGATAGTCCTCAGCAAAGAGTTCCAGGCCTTTCATGATCTACTCAACTGAGAAGGAACTACTGTGGAGAGCAACTGGAAGGGGATCAAAGAGGCAATCACTTCAACATGTCATGAGGCCCTCGGTCACCAGAAGCACCATCACAAGGAATGGATCACTGTTGATACACTGGATAAGATTCAAGAAAGAAGGAATAAGAAGGCAGCAATCAATACCAGCCGAACAAGAGCAGAAAAAGCCAAGGCACAAGCTGAATACACGGAAATAAACAAACAAGTGAAGAGGAGCATCAGAACCGACAAACGTAAATATGTGGAAGATTTAGCAACGACGGCGGAAAAGGCTGCAAGAGAAGGAAACATGAGACAATTGTATGACACGACAAAGAAACTCTCTGGAAATCGCCGCAAACCAGAACGACCAGTGAAAAGCAAGGAAGGCAAGGTAATCACCAACATTGAAGAGCAACAAAACAGGTGGGTAGAACACTTCAAAGAACTCTTGAATCGACCAGCTCCACTGAACCCACCCAACATCGAAGCAGCACCCACGGACCTCCCAATCAATGTTGGTCCACCAACAATTGAAGAAATCATCATGGCCACCAGACAAATCAAGAGTGACAAAGCAGCAGGACCGGACAACATCCCAGCAGAGGCACTAAAGGCAGACGTAGCGGCAACTGCAAAGATACTCCACATTCTCTTCAATAAGATTTGGAATGAGAAACAAGTACCAACAGACTGGAAAGAAGGACTTCTGATCAAAATACCGAAGAAAGGCGATCTCAGCAAGTGTGATAACTACAGAGGCATCACTCTTCTCTCAATACCGGGAAAAGTCTTCAACAGGGTATTGTTAAACAGGATGAAGGACTGCGTAGACACCCAACTTCGTGACCAACAGGCAGGATTCCGTAAGGATAGATCGTGTACAGACCAAATCGCAACTCTACGGATCATTGTGGAACAATCACTTGAATGGAATTCATCACTCTACATCAACTTCATTGACTACGAAAAGGCATTTGATAGCGTGGACAGAACAACACTATGGAAACTTCTTCGACACTACGGCGTGCCTCAGAAGATAGTCAATATCATATAGAACTCATATGATGGATTACACTGCAAAATCGTGCATGGAGGACAGTTGACAAAGTCGTTCGAAGTGAAGACCGGTGTTAGGCAAGGTTGCTTACTCTCACCCTTTCTCTTTCTCCTGGTGATCGACTGGATCATAAAGACGTCAACGTCTGAAGGGAAGCGCGGGATACAATGGACATCTAAGATGCAGTTGGATGATCTAGACTTCGCAGACGATCTGGCCCTTCTATCCCAAACGCAACAACAGATGCAGGAGAAGACGAACAGTGTGGCAGCAGCCTCAGCAGCAATAGGTCTCAATATACACAAAGGGAAAAGCAGGATTCTCCGATACAACACAGAATGCACCAATCCAATCACAATTGATGGAGAAGATTTGGAAGATGTAAAAACCTTTACGTATTTGGGCAGCATCATTGATGAACAGGGTGGATCCGATGCAGATGTGAAGGCGCGGATCGGCAAAGCAAGAGCAGCATATTTACAACTGAAGAACATCTTGAGCTCAAAGCAACTGTCAACCAACGCCAAGGTCAGGATTTTCAATACAAATGTCAAGACAGTCCGACTGTATGGGGCAGAAACCTGGAGAATTACGAAAGCCATCATCCAGAAAATACAGGTGTTTATTAACAGTTGTCTACGCAAAATACTTCGGATCCATTGGCCGGACACTATTAGCAACAACGTACTGTGGGAGAGAACAAACCAGATTTCGGCGGAGGAAGAAATTAGGAAGAAGCGCTGGAAGTGGATAGGACACACATTAAGGAAAGCATCCAACTGCGTCACAAGACAAGCCCTCACATGGAATCCTGAAGGTCAAAGGAAAAGAGGAAGACCAAAGAACACATTACGCCGAGAAATGGAGATAGATATGAGAAAAATGAACAAGAATTGGATGGAACTAGAAAAGAAGGCCCAGGACAGACTGGGTAGGAGAATGCTGGTCGGCGGCCTATGTTCCATTGGGAGTAACAGGCGTAAGTAAGTAAGTAATTACTGAATAAAATATGCAATAAGTTCATTCATTGGATTAGTGGTAATTTTGAACTACATGATTTTAAGTTTCAAGTTACATTAGTCAAAATGTCGTTATGGAATTTTTTCCTATTCGTAGTGACCAATTTTAGGTTTTTTTATAGAATTTTCCTCGTGATCTTTATATTGTTAGGCATTTTTTTTTAGATATATGAGACTCATGACTTGGGTATGCTTCTTACTATATTTGGACTCAAATCAAGGATGTAGATATATTTCAATTTGTGGATTACTGTTTAGCCATTGAATCTAAATTAAGGTTACTACGTTTTTGTAACTTGGATTCATTAGTTGTTAAGGGAAATCACCACTTGATATGACTGTTAACTGTCTCTTCTTGTAACAAATTATCAAGTACAGGTTTGCTTACCCCGGCTTTCAGCTGCATTGTTTGTACGAGGGCTAGCGTAACATTACTTGACTACTCGAACCGAATTACGTGAAACTGTGTTCTGACCTGTAATCTTTTGTCAGAAAACTGGATGCTTTAACTACTAATCCAGATTTCCTGATCGGTGAAATCATCAGTCAGTCAGTAACAACGTAGACGGTGAAATCATAGTATTCTATGATCACTGACGTTACATGATACCGACCCAAAATCGATCACCGTTCCATAATTGCATTCATTCGTTGTCTTGCTCTAAATATTTAGTCTTAATATTATTCCATACTTTTTCAATTCATATTCTCTATTGTTAGCGGAATATAGATTGGGTTAAAGCATGTTCCGTGCAAGATTGTGTTGGTGCATGTTGATTGGCTATTTCTTATCCAATCAGCGCTAACAGATACTTGTAGAAGACTAGAATCTTCTCATGTAGAAACTGTAAATATACTAACGCTTTTCTTATGGTGCTTCTTACTTCCATCTATCCTTGTTATTTGGGATATAATTCCGTTCCTCCTCAATTACGTTTTGATTTAGGGACTTGTCAAGTGAATCTGGTGTCCAAGAATACTAAGCAATAGAAATAGCTGGGTCGTAATAAGAGAAATTATAACATCTACATATTTCGTTTTACTATTGTTAGAAACTTTATTTTGTATCTTTTAATTATCATCTTTGTTAATTTCCTCTCTCTGTGCTAATGTGATGTAAACAACAGGTACATAGATCGATACCTGGATGTTTTTCTAAACACGATTTGCATTAATTTACTTTTATATTGTGGAAATCGATTGTGAAATCGAGAAATTTATTTCATAATAATTATTGTCACTTTAATATGTTTTCTCTAACTTACCAAATCATTACTCTTTATTAGAACAAAAATAAAACATTCTTTTTTATTCTTTCAGAAAATCAAACTACAACCCCTCCAGTTTTACTATGTCTCGTTGATATTGTGGATCTTGATCTAATGTCTAGTAATAGAACAACTGTGCAACAGTGTCATCCAAACGGTAGTATACTTCATTCTTCAAATTATTCTGATTACAATCATTTTGAATCTCCATCGTTGTCATTAGAACCAGCTAATCTAAATTTTTTGGACAATATTGAATATAATAGTTATTCAATAGATGGTTCAGATTTTGTTAAAAATAGAATTTTTGGCTTGAAATATTCACATCAAGGATATTATGTAATTCATCATATGGGCATTCATCTTGTTAGTCTGTCATGGATTGAAAATCTTTCACTATGGTGTAGTGAATTTAACAGTCAACTGTTAAATGATTCTAATAAATCTCTTATTGAAGGTAATTATCACACATTGTTAAATGATTATTAAATATAATGATTTTTTATGATAAAGAAATATTAATTAATTCAACCTACAATGTTTAACACTAGCCGCCGCACCAACGTGTATTTCTAGATGGTTTAAAACTATATTAGACTAATTAGCTGGGGACATGAAAGTAGTCGATGAAGTTATCAACTTTTGGTCTGCTTTTTTTCGATTCCAACATTCTTTTGAATATAACATTATGCTTATTTTCACTCTATAATGTTGTTAAAATCAGATATATCTGTCTGTTTTTATTTGAACTAATTTATTCATATGTCATACTTCAAAATGAACAAATACTTGTCTATGAAATCATAGATCGAGTATGTTTTACTAATTGAATGAATTTGGAAAAAAACATCAGTTAGTAAACTTTAAATTAACTACAGCAAGCTGATCATAATGCTGAGAATTTACTTACCTTAGTTTCAGAAAATTTTATTATAGACTATCATTAAAGAAGACGAAAAAAGCTGTATAATGGTTTCCGGTGTTCATTGAAATTTTCAAATATTGTCGGTTTGCAGATGAAATAAACATCTAGTGATATAGTGTCACACAAACCCACAATCTGATTGAAATTCATTACTTACTGGTAGATCTTCATTTACTAGAAATTAAATGTATCACTATGTAGAGATGCCAAGTCTTTTTCATGATTATGACTTGACCATAAATTGGTCATTATCTGATGGTTTATTTTCGTCGGAAATTTTTGAATTTTTTTATTTCAGAGATTCGGGATTGGCAGTCATGTGTGAAACACCTTGTCTGTGGCCAAATTACCATCTCTACCCCTGATGGGATGAATGAAGATATGGAGGGAAAGTTTAGACTAGCTGGTTTCATTGAACTATCATGTAATTTCCTGTCAAAAAGTCAACCGAAATCTAAAACTACAACCACATTAGCTGATTGTCGATCAACTAAAGGTGTCACACTTTTGTTTATTCGTGCACCTATCCAACCAATTGATTCAACTGCCGGTATAACTGATTATTCATGTTTGGTACATTTCATCACTCTAACACGGAAACCTGAAAGTTATGCTATGAAACAGCGTTATACTGGGTTAGATTCAAGGTTATTAAATTTATCTATCTTCATACTCATATGATAACTGCATTGAATATAAGTCTTGATAAAAATAACTATGATAAGAATTTGTAAAGTTTTATAGCTGGTCAAACTTGTCTTTGCAATATGATTTATTTATTACTATAGTTGACAGCAAATGTAGTAATAGGCAACCGTTTGACAAGTCTAATGCTCGAACATTTGATATCGACTTCTAACTCCTTCCTAGTTTTCCATAAATCTCTAACATTTGATTAGGAAACAAAAGGCGGAAAAGTATGAGAAGTGGCTTCACTCCCAAGGTTATTTCAGGTACAAAAAACGAGGATATTTATAAGTTTATGTGTGATCGTGATATCCTGGAAGCTTCCGGACATAAACTAAAATTCGTAACAAAATCGGTAATTATTCACTTAGGATATGAAATGTAATCTGTCACTTTTCAAAGACTGTCTCGGAAGTTTCTATTGAAATCTGATTCAGCAAAGCGTTCCCAACCTTTTCCTAGTTTCTGAATAAAGATCTACCCTCATCTCATTCAGAAATATATAAAAGTTGACTGAAACTGAACAAAATTGTTTTTCTTTGATTTTTTTTGCATAAGTACAGTAAATCCATTTTGTACAGTCTGATTTTTATTCATATCGTAAATAATAAAGTTGAACATCGTTGTTCGATTATTGCCTTGATTGAAGTACGATCGTGTATCTGGTAATTAACATCCGGAACTATTGACCCAACAATTACAGATTTTGCCTTAAAAATGAATAGATTAGATACTTTGGTATGATTCTGGTTTGTATAGTTAGCCTTCAGAAGGAAAATTAAAGATTCGTATATTTTAACGACTCTTGGTTAACTTGGATTTTCGGACAATAAAACACAGAGTAACGAAACACTTACATATAAATACAAATGATCATAAGATTCAAATGTCAATCTAAGTAGTCAAAAGGTGGTTGTACATCACGATGAAGTATCTTCAAAAAGCATTATTTAAAATCGGTTTGAATATTCATGCAATTATTAATAGAAACAGGTCTAGGTCAAAATATTAGCTCTACGCTGATACTAATCTTAGTATAGAAACTTGTTCTTGTTTAATAACTTACATGTATGCCGCACTCCACTCTCACTCTCATAAATACGTTGACTGAAAGATATTCTTCATCATTCTCTAGACTCGCATTTATCACGTACATTTTTATGTATTCGACTTTGAGTAGTCCCACTGTTCTTATGAGGACCATTGTTACTACCCAGCTGATAAGATTAAAGGTGTAGTGGCGTCTGACTGTACAATTTACTTTTTAAAAGCCAAATGTTTTAACCATTAGGTCTCCGTTCCATTCTCTCAGGTACTATCGTGTATGTAACATTACTATGATGTGTACTTTTTTAAACTTGTTTTCATCGTTATGTGAAATAAGTTTAGTACATTATTAAAAACCAGGTAGCACTAGTGATTCGTCTTGTTTTTGTGTGGGACTTCTCTGCGCTGTCAGTCGACAGTCACTTCCCCTTAATCAAGTGCATAATTTAAGAGTTATTTTTATTCATTTTTTGAACTTATTTCATCCTCGTCATATGTGTGATGTACAATGTAAGTTGATAAATTCTTTTGCCTTTTTATATCTCAGAACTACTGATCATTATGATTCCTGTGATTCAACTCTCCGTTCACATTTCACATCTCAAATAAAACAAGTGTTATCGGGAGACAATTCACATTTTCCGATGATAACCGGTTTAAATTTACAACCCGATCTTACCCAGCAACAGTTGGTTCAATTTTTTATTAAGGTAATGTTTGAATCTTATAATTCAGTTCCTGAATATTAATTGTTACTGGTTGTAGTTGCACCGATATTGAAACTATAACTACTTACTCGTGAAATGTTTCTGACTTCATTTTGTCTGGTTGTTAGTTTCATATATAATGATCAAATCAGAACATCATAGTCTAGATCGGTGCTTACCACTTTTGTTCGAAGCCCACTCTGCCTACTTTGGCTTAAGAAACTGATTAGTATCGTTAGCCTTCACACCGCTGCACATACCTAATGCACAAATTGGTTATTATTCCGAACTCATTGTTTGATTGCAGGCCTTTAAAATTTCTAACTTCTCACTAGTCAAAATGGTTATCATAACTTTTAATGCAATCGTAAATATGCTATCATACTTCGAAACTTTGAATGACTGGAAATAAGTAACCTTATGTAGTTTGATTTGTTTTAGGTCTCTGATATACTGCGCAAAGGACCTCTAGATCGTCTAATGAAAGCTCGCTCAATGATTGAACATCACTCTAGACAGTTACAAGATATAATTTCAGCTCAACATTCCGAAGCAATGAAGCTAACATCTGAACGTCAAACTTTACAATCTAAAGCTGAGGACTTGGCAAAACGTCACTCTGTAATCGCCGAGCGTCAAAGTATGTTGGATAAACGTATGGCTAACTTAGCAACCCGTTTAGCCGGTAAGTAAATAGTTCTTTAACTTCCTGTTACATTCTTATAAATTTTAAAACAAAATGTAAGAATGTGTTGCTGAAGCTTACGCCTATTTAACACTATAAAAACTGAATGTAGCGATTACCAGGTATCCTGATCAAGTCAGTCAGTTTTAAGCAACATCGGATCTTCTATAGGTATGCATCAGTTCAAGTTGCTATATTTCACCAACACAGCAACGTTGACTCAACAAATCAAATAACGAGATTTGAAATATTATAAAATGCTAGATATCGAGGAACGTGTTTCTAATTAAAAAATGATGTGACGTTACGTAGTAGTGGGATACTATTAGGATTCATGGTCTGGTATCTGGACTAATGAGACCGATTTTCAACCTCGTCTCGTGAGGTCCCTAATTATGAACTGCAACTATCGTACTAGCTCCAACTAAATACTCGGAGCCTACCAATATAGCTCACACTAGGAGCCAGTGACTTTATGGCTTAATTCCACTCCGTCTGCAGTCTGCTCCTTCGTTAACCAGCATTGCTAATTGAAGTATTACCTTGTACGGTATTATGTGAAATTATAAGGTGACTGAAACATAGTAAGATCTTTGGGTTACAGGTTTTTCTAGCCAGTAAAATTTTTTTCAGTAATCGGGCTAACTGACCTATGCAGTCTATTGTTTTTTAGTTGGATCACAAATTGACCCGTGAAAAGTCACTCATCTCATTTGATTAAAGCTTAAAGTAGAGTAATGCGCAAGCGCTTTAGTATACGATACCTGCTCATGTAAAACCCCACATCTACTATCATGGTTGTTTGGCTCGTCTGTAAAATTCCTCTGAACTCCGAATGAGTGGCTTACTACCTGATTTTCTGTTTAAATAAATGGAAGTTAATGAGTCGAAATGATAGTTCATTTAGATCAGTTTGTCCCATCTATTGCAACCTTTAATATATAGTGGTGAAATATCTTCAAAACTAAAACTTTTCCATTTCAGTTATTTTTAACGTGTATTATCCTGTAAGTGTTCATTACTGATTTCCACTGATATGGTTATAATTACTTCTGTGTTTAGCTTTAGGCGAAGGTCCTACTAAAGCTGAAATCGCAATGCGTAGTGAAGTTATCGTAATTCGTGATCGTCTACACAAAGGCCTTAGGCAATGGTTATCGAATCTCAAGAACCGTCGTGACAAATTGGAAAAACAAATACTGTTGCGCAAAAAAACAGATAAATCATCTATTCGTAACTCTCTTCCCAGCAGCCTTCTTAGAACCACCGAAAATATCGAAGGAAATCAGTGGCAAACAGTATCAGAAGAACTTCGCCGGGAAACTTTAGAAATCAAAATGTTAATTAACGCAGTTAAAACGCTTAACACAAAGACTATAAATCCCTCCTAGTGTCTTATTTTATTTTCCCGTATATAAATAATTCCAGATAGAAATAATACTGAACCCGTTCATTTGGATTATTTTGTACACCTGTAAGTTAATTTTATAAGTAAATTATCCTATGAGTTATAAATACTCGACCACGTGACACTACTTTTATTTTTGAGTACTAAACTTTGTCGAGTAAAAAAGATTGTTCAGTGTGTTTCACTCATATAATACGTGTGTATCAACTTTAACACATAAGATTTTGGTTTACTGGGCTGTAAATTCCGGTGTGTAATGAGCTTTTAAGAAAAATGGTCCATACCTGAATGAAAACCTTTATGCCAAAAACGGCGATATGCCTAGCTGTTCTGGCAGATCACATGACACCAAGATTTCACTATAGGTCAAGTGCTAACAAGGGAAAAGTACGTTGAATGATTTAAATGCTTACTAATCGAAGGTTCTGACTAACTTCAAATGCTGAAATCAGTCTATCTACCTGTAAGCACATATAACCTGTGATAGTATTCAGTGCAGTACTATTATTCGTCCGAGAGATCATAGTTGTTGGGATATCTCATATTTCCAAGTTTCAAACTTGGAAACCATAAGTGGTAAATCGGGTCGGACTTGTTTATCTCCAGCCTCTTAAATTTTTGCATGGGTTTGATGTGTTTATCAGTTGGAGCTATCAGTTTGTTCTCAGTGTTCTTTGCTTACTCAATTATTAGAGTTAGTAAAAATGTGGTGTATGCTACTTACGCTGAAAGATATAATTAGTATGCAACAACAGTTGGAAGTGGAATGCTTGGCAGCAGAAGATTGAAATGAAGATAACAGGGAGGAAATCGGAGAGTAATCGAAGTAACAACAGAATTAGAGGAATAGTGGAGCATGCGGAAAACAACCCAAAGAAGCAGTGCGAATGGTGTATTTAATGTATGGATTTCATATTTTACCGAATCACTGTAATTTTGTATTAATCAGTAAACTGGTTTTCCCCACCTGAGTTTACGTTCGCTACACTAGTAACTTGAGTAACAAGAGCGAAAATGGAGAACGAAACCAAAAATCCTAGAGCTATCGACAATTTAACTGGTCAGCCATTTAAATCGTTACAGAAACGGTTTAACACCAAGTCACTCGGAAGTGACTGGTTGTAGTGTTATTAAGTTCTCTTGACCTTGCTGTAAATGTCAAACATAATTCACCTCACAGAAACTCAGCTGCAGGAGCCATGAGTGTGAACGAATAATCATCTTCTTTCTTTTAATCTTTGAGTTATCTTGTTAGAAGGGATTTTTGTACAAGTAGCATTCAGTTTCACGTTTCTTAGTCATATTTATGGATTTTTTTTCGTGATTAATTCATTTTAACTCAAAAGAGTGAAAAGACAGTAATAGATCTAAACCTAAGGAGTACAGGTCCCTTTCGTGTGTTCAACTACTCAAACTTACTGTATAATGATGTGGATTCTAGACTGCTTGTATGAGAGGAGCAAAAGCCATAAGAATTTCCTGCGCGACTAAAATTTATGGACGAATCAATCAGGTATAAGATAACAGGTCTTGAAATTTGGTGCGGAATTCATCCAACTATTTGGCTTAATAGCGTCTTGGTATTTTAGGAGCGAGACTCCAATTTATGGACGATCTTTGAACGAATCTTTAAGTGACCTTGAGAAATATTAGCCAATCAACAAACAGTCAGTATAGAGTAAAAATATGTTATGCAAAACCAAGGAAATAAAGTGGATACACTCCTTGTACGTGGTAATGCATGCAGTGGAGGAAATCATCCATACAGCTACAGAATAGTCGGCCTCCGGTTGTTGAGTGCACGCTCTCTAAACATCCGTATAAATTGTAGTACCTGGCTGCAGCCAATGTTACTGGTGCTTTTACTATCCAGTTCGCAATAATTGTCGTAATTTGCCTTAGTTAGGAATTATATATGGGATTTTCATCACAAACTGACATCAGCTATAATGCCAGAAATTTATTTAGCCAAATTGATGGAAGGCTTTCGCGCCAAAATCCGAGATCTATTATCTTATACCTGATTGATCCGTCCACAAATTATAGTCTCGCCATTTTATTTATTATAACCGCTCAATCAACACGTTTTGTACAAAATTTCCTGTGAACCGATCGTACGTTAGCATTAAGCACTGAAGTTGGTGCCGTAAACCTGATTGGCTCGTTCATAAATTAGAGTCTCGCCATTTTAGGTATTGAAGCACACTGCTCACGTCGTTTACTTCCTCCTTTAGTCCGTAGTTTGTCTCTGCTCGTTTTCAGAAGAAAAAGATTGGGAATCTGCTCAGTCGGTCGCAAGAATAGTCAGATTTAATTCGGGCCAGGATCTCTTCTGGAACGATAACCACTCGCATACTCTTTACTAATTCGATTTTCCGCATGACCTTTGTCCTCCGATTGGTCCCCATGTTTTTTAGTTTGCTGGATGGCTACATGCTCGAAGGTCATGTTCTGCCACTACAGTAACAACTTTGGTACGAATTTCTCTTGAGTTGCTTGTTATACTACAATTATTAGGTTACCCTTAGTCCCCATCTTCTTTCTGTCTTAGCCGTCGAGGTTTGATGTGTTGAGCATAATTAATTGTTGTTAATTTAGAAGAAAACGGATCATATTAGAAAAGTTCAATCGTTTTGTTCCTAAATCCGCAACGTAGTAGGCTGTACTGAACCCCAATATCCTTCTGTAACCAAGAACGATCTCCTACTGTCTAGGCGTAAAACATATTGGACTTATATTTATCTGTCTCCGCATAAAGATATAAAACATTCGTGACTGGTGGTGATATGTCTTTACAGTATAAGTTGGAAACTACTCCCTGGTTAAAATGACCTCGTCTTAGTTTACACAACCTTGAAGGGCTGTGGGAATTCACTATTTGAATACCACAAACTGGTCCCACAAATGGTGTCCCGCCTCGCTTTGCTAGTACATTTGCATCTGTGCTTAATGAATGATTTTCAAATATTCTTATTATTGGTTCACTTCTATTATTGCTTACTATTTTATTATTCTGTACCTAAATAAAATCTTACTGATGGCTAATAGTGATACTATTGTATCAATTATTTAAAATACAGCTCCCGTCGACTTATAATTTCTTTTTCGACAACTATTGTTCGGTCAGAGGTTCTTCATTGAGAGGAATTCGAACATGCTTTTAATGACTTTCTACAGGTAAATGGAGCATGAATTATATGAATATAGATAACGTGTACTCTTTGCACTTATCAGCGAATTGAAGAAAATCGCAATGAGAGTTGGAAGTATTTATATTTTATTTCGGAATCCACTTTTGGTGTTTAGAGACACTCTTAAAGTGCTAGACGCGTTGTGTTTATGTTGAAATAGTGTAGTAGGAAGTATCCCGGTTGTACGTCTATTCTTCGAGTTCCTTCAAATGGTGGTGATTAAACGTCCTTTCAATCATACATCTTCCGCAGGATTTTTATGTGATCCATTGATTAGAAGTTTATCAGATGGATAGGAGGAAAACTTATCCACTTCATTATTATGTAATTGTTAGGGATGCAGAGGAATATACCAATCATTATCATGTTAAGTCTAATGATGTCCTTGGACTTTAAATGCACATTCCCTATTGGCCATTATTTATTTCACTCGTTAAATATTGTACAGATGTTGTTTTCTATTTTTATGGTACGATGTGGTCTGTTTGGTTGGTATATAAACAGAGCATGTTTGAAATATAACGATTCATATATCCGAGGCTGAGACTTGTATTCTGGACTCAACTGGCTGGGTTAGACAGCGAAGCAGGGCCAATGGGAACTCTAGGTCGTCCGTACGTGTTTTACGTGTCACTGGGTCGATCGATAAAACGCTGCTCCATTCATCCATAATCTGCACTCCATACGTTACAACAGTAATTCTAATGAGGTTTCTTTTATATCTCTTGAAAAATGAATATGAAATTTTAATTACTATTTGATATAAAATACGAAGATTGATTTGATATTACCTCATTGAAGATTCGACTGTCTTAATCATTACATTATCTATGTGAATAATAATACAAATACATTTTGTGAACGAATATCTTAACGATAAAGTTCTTTGATCTTTTGTTCTTATGAAAATATTTTGTAATTGAAACGCTAAGCAGTAAATCTTTAAATATCATTTGAAATTTATTATAATAAAAAAATTAAATAATTAATCTTAGTGGGAGATATATATATTGATTGTTGAAAAGTTACGGGACTTCAGGATTTCAAATTAACACTTGTCTCGTAATGCAGTTTGATGATTTCCGTAATGTATATCCTATCCATCTTCAACATCTTTTCCTTTTCAGATGAACGTTGATTCGTTCTCTCTCACGTTAGGCTGCTGCTGTCAGTATCCGGCCAACAGACATTCAGCATCTTATGTACACAATTGTTTATAAATACTTGTACCATTTTAATAATGGTTGTGTTAGTTCTACAATTTTTAGTAAAACTGTCTTGGCGTTCGTAATAAAGATTCTGAGTTTGATGTTGACTGACAGTTGTCTTAACTTCCATATGTTCTTCAACTCGAGGAATGCTGTTATTGCTTTACCAATCCTCGCCTTTACGTCTGCATTAAAGCCTCCTTGTTCATCGATGATGTTACCAGGTACGTGAAGGATTCCACATCTTCCATAGCCTCTCTATCAAGTGTGATTGGGTTGATGTTCTCTGTGTTGTATTTGAGGATCTAGCTTTCTTCATTTTGTATGTTGAGGCCTACTGATGAAGAAGCTGCTGCTATACTAGTTGTCTTTATCTGCAATTGTTGCTGTGTATGGATTAAGAGGGCTAGGTCATCTGCGAAATCTGTTCATTGAATTCCTCAATCAAAAAGAGCACAAAATAATTTGTTGTTGCCAGTAAATGTAGTCTCTGACTTAAAAATTACTTCGATAATTTTGTCATCTACGGAATCCTCGACCATATCACTATTTATCATTTTTTGTCACTGGTTGAAATATTGGTCACGTTTCAAAATGTTTTTTGATTTGCTGAGTCACATGGTTGTAAACTTTCTTACTTTTGCTTGTGATATCTTTATTTAAGGTTCAAAAGTTTTCTGTTTGATCCTAATATACACAATCATTTATATCAACCAATATAGGACAATATATTCTAAGATACTGTAGACATTGTCTTGAGTTACAAGTTTTCGGTGTCAGAGATACTACCGTCAAACATAAAGTATTCACTTTAATATAATAAACAACACAACTCGAGTCCTATTAACATTGCTAGAAATGTAGAGATTGTACATTCTAGTCCGGTTGTTATTCATTTTCTTTTCAAGTGACTCAATAAAACTCACAGTACTTTTTGTAAAAATACTGTGTTTTGGTATTCATTCACAGGATACATTTTTTCATTTTTAAGTAAAGTTATACAATCTTATATCAATTTATGATATAAAAAAGTTGATACTTTGTAAAAAACAATCTGTATTCTATGTGTAAATTATCAAACAACATAAATAGAAAGAAACCTTTAAAGTTAATAGAATAATACCGGTTAATTAAATCACTAAGCCATAAAATCTATAACATATTTCTATCAAACAACGAAACAATCAATCCATATTTCTTTTCTTTTTTAAACTTATTTAGTTTAAAGGATTCAAAGTTAAGCTACTTTCATTTAATTCAAAAAAATTGAATGATTTATATATTACTGATATTTCGTTTCCTATTTTGGTTAGATCGCTTAGTAAAAAGAAAAATGAAAAAATAGAAAGAAAACAACAAATAAAAAGGAAACATTTTTCTCTAGAATAAGACAATGACACTTACCATTGGTTCATTTTAATATAAACAAATAGGAATGAAAATCAATATACAATAAATTTACATGGATTCACACATTAGAAAAAAAAGGAATTTTGTAATCGTAAAAGTGTAGACAAGTAATTTTTCAACAAGAAAAAACTAGAAAAAATGTAGTTAACCGTGTAAAGTTAATTTAGTGAATTGAATCTAATAAATTCAGTATAATATAATGATATGAAATCTGTGGTATGAATATTATGTCTATTTTACTTAAATTGTATATCAAATTCTAAACTAGAAAATTGGAAACTCAATATTTACAATTAACATAAATGGGATGCTGATATAAAATAGATTGAAAGTTAACAACTGTTTTATGTTTAGGCACAAAAATTCGACTAACTTGATCTTTTCATGAATTTATTTGAGTCTGAGGTATAATACTGAATCCTGACATTTATGATTGAGATCATGAACCGATGGATGTTAGACCACTGGACATCCGTTTCGTTCTATTGTGGGACTACTTAGCAGTGTACATCCACGGTCCCTCTCGCGGGATTTGGACCCAAAGCCTTCAGTTATTTATTATCAATGGATCATGATTCGTTATCATGTTCCTACATGAAAAGCTACTTTTATTTCCCTCACCGGCAGAGATTAAGGGCAGTGTCATTTCCTCATTCTTAACAGATACATCTACGCCTCTCCTCGGCCTTTCTTGAGATTTAGATGTATTGCTGTGCTCATCATTATGATGTATGCTCCTTCATGTCTTTAGATCTATGAAGAGTGAGATAACTTCAGCAAAGTTATTTAAGTCCTGCTTCTCATTGGCAATAACTTCCAACCTCAATCTACCCAGAGTTAACGGTCTTCCATCTAATTTCGTCCTCATATTATGAACGAAACATCTGCATAGAGCGAATATTCTCAACATTTTGGACCCGGTCTTACATTCACTGAATTGATCCAAAATCGGTCTAAATGATTCTCCAAGGGTATTTCGCCTAGCTATGCTGTGGACAAATGAGCTAATAAAGGGTTTTCCTTTTCGCTTGAATTTAGCCAGTCACGTTCGTTCTGCCATAAAATGTTCGGTCCGTGAAACTACTGATTTAGTTTAATGCCATTATATGACGATAATCTATGCAAAGCATGATCTGCCGGGTTCTGTTTAATTTTAACATATCTCCATTGACCTGCTTTCAACAATTCGTGGATCGTTACTAGTCTATTGCTTACGTATCTCTGAGATATACAAATTCTAAGGCATCGGCAAAGCAATGAATCTGAGTAACTTGCTGTTTGTACGATTCCATCCGGAGACATCTGGGAAGTGACAGTTCACTTTGGCGTCTCAACAGTCTCATATTGTGAAGCAGTGACTGGGAAGCTCTGCATCCCACGCCAGATTTTGCTGGCAAGTAAATTGCCAAACATATTGAGCTGGAAAGATATCTGGAGCTGTAAACCCAACTAAGTCTGATATAGAAGCTACGTATGAAAAAATGGCTCACGTTGTAGGGGTCGCATCAAATTTTCGCACTCGAGCGGATCTCATACGTTCGAACATTCCACTCTATTTCCAAAGTCCTATCGTTTCTTTCTACAGATAAACAATCTCTACGTTTCTTCCTATTCTATCTTCCTCTGGAATAAACTTGATTAATGCAATATTGTTGCTGGCCAACCTGTCATATTAAAACCCTCTAAATGTATGATCTTCGTCAACTGAGAATATACTAATTTAGCCTCTTCTAACGTATCAATACTGGTTAATAAATAGTTACCTTAGTACGGTTTCTTTGCAGTCTGTATAATACATCCGGGAAACCTGATCTCGATATCTGATATAGTTCTTTGTAGAGAAAACGTTGCGCAACTTGATGAGAAGGTCGCCCCAAACAAATGTAAATTTTTCGTGCCTTATATGTAACCCATGTTCTTTTGATAGAAGAAAGCAGACCAGTAGTGAGTAGGTCTCTATTTAAATCTTCGCGCAGCCACAGTGGAGCGTGGGATTGCCTGTTCGGACAAACAAAGCTTTTCAACATTCAATGTAAGATATTAGGAAGTATAATGCCTATACAAAATCAGGAAGTGAATGAATACCTGAACTCTGTTGTTTTGAAATGCAATTAGTTTTCTGAGTTTAACTCCTAACCAATCAACCTAAGCTGTTACACATTAATCCTGTAGGTACCTGGCTCAGTTTTTAAGTAGCTCTGCGGCCACCATAAAAATCTAGAGGATCACGATTCTGTGGTGGGACAATCACTTGATAAAACATATCTTCAGTACCTGCCGTGAGACCTACTGGTTATCGCCGAAATTTGGTGAAGACATCTGCCATACAAGTGACTAAGCCCGACCCATAACAGAAGTTTTTATTTAGGGACGTACCGGTGTATCGCATCTCACAGCCGAGAACGATTCTTAGCTTATTAGGTTTTTTTCAGATGGAAGACAGGGTGGTGCGTTAGATACCAAAACTGAAACTTATGGAGTTCTCTGAAGCCTTTTCGGCGTAGTTCCGTTTGGCATTCTGTGTCATCACATTAACATATCCCTTACGCAGACTTAGGTCACATGTGAGCTGGTTTATGAAGAAATGTTATCTACTCATCGCCAGTTTTATATTATTAGGTAGGCTTTGTTGATGACGCCGGATTAGAGCTCTTTTATAATGCACATTTAATAACTGTATAGATTTGGACTTAGTGTCCATGGATTTACTATCTTCGACCAACACGGGAAAACAGCGATTCGGGTCTTCTTTAAACTTCATTCTATATAATTGGTCTGATCAAGCTTCTAGCTCATGTTTAGATGATAGATCATTTATGATACCCACATACTTCGTAGTCCCCCTATAAGGTACAAAAAACGTCCACCCTAAAGTTCTTATGGTACATGGTCTGTTGGATTTTGCAACTCTCTTCTCCGTTATCTTATGTGCCTCAGGCACATTGCACCCAATAGGTACGTTGGCATCTTCATTGTCAACTCTTGGCCTGGTCACATCGTGCAAATAAGACTACGATATAATTTGGGATGTCACTGGCACTGTCCTACGTAACACGTGTGATCTCCTGACATCCCATGCCTTTGAAATCCTGAGTGATAAAGAAGAATCTAAAAAGTAAACCCTCAGTCAAACCTATTTACAACGTAATGCGGACTCGGTATCTAGAGTTTTCAACGAGTGTCTCCAGTTCTCCCTCTAAATTCATCCTTGTAGCTAGATTTTATGTATCAAGCGAAGCGTCCAAGGTGCTACCCAGGAATGCACAAGTCTGGTCAGCCTTTTCTACATTTTTTCACCAATACAGGCACTATTACAAGTGCTACTTCTCACTGTACATGCTTAGCACTTTCCTCAGTACAGAGTTGAACATTGATGTGGATATTACTGTTACAGTCTCTTTGCTCTTCCCGCTTCTTGTGTAAAACGTTTTGGTGTAAATAAGGAAGTTAATGAAGGATGTGAGACAATTACCAGTCACAACAAGTAAACGTTATTCCATCCTGTCCGGATAGTCCACGTGCAGACTGGTTCAAAATATAATATTTGGTTGCTTTATAACACAGTGTTTCCAATTCTGGAAAAGTGCCTTAATTCACCATCAAAAATGCATAACTGCAGTCAATACAAACAACACAAACAAAAAAGGGAGCAAACCAAAATGGCCGCCGCCAAGATTAAATATCAAGCAAAACAACATAAATGCAATTCAGGAAAAAACACGTAAACTTAGTAAAGGCGTAATAAAAATAGAAACTATAATAAAATACAAATATCGACAACTTAAATGGAATCAGAAAGACTAACTAAATGTACAATTAAAGGAATTAATAGGAACAAGCTGCAAGTGCATACATGGAATGAATTTCACGCACAAAACATTCAAAATGGATCTTACAATGTTTCTTTTAATAACAACGGCCGATTGCGTTTGGGTGAGATTAGAAGGACCTTCATTGACAAGTAATCCGCATCTGGTATTAGCAATATCTGACTGCTGCTTCACAGATTCGTAAAGGTCCTTGAAGAAAGACTATCTGCCCGTCTTGGGAATTCTACATGCAACTTTCACCCATCCTCTTTGTAAGTATGATTTGAGTTTCAAGAACATACTCTCGATAGTTTTTGTAGAGTTCAGATCAGATATATGGTTCATCTGCGCGAGTGTTAGCTCAAAAATCTGTATCTCATGAGATAGTCTTCTTATATTATCTAGATCTCTTCACTTAATACCACAGATGTTCAGCATCGTATCACCAAATGCATGGGCTACGATGTTTTTCTGATCAAATGCCTCCTCGATAAGCTCTACAGCCTTACGATAGCCTTCTTCTATTTCGAGCAATGCACAATGAATTTAAGTAGCCTCAGTATCACCATCACAATACTAAACCAACTAGTCTAGCCGAGATCGAATTCAAACACTTCCATCGAAGCAGTCTTCGAAATTTCATATGAAACTTCAATAGTTCATTGAATTACTATCAAACCTTATGATCTCTCTCTTTGGTAGA